CCCTCAAACCCCAGCCACACACACACACACACACACACACACACACACACACACACACACACACACACACACACAGATTGGATCATGCCGTCAGCTTTTGACCCGGTCAAGTTCATGAGCAGCAACAGGGGACATTTTAATCAAGGAACCATCGTCTGTTTGGCTAACATCAGCAGGTGGTTGAAGCTCGGAGAGCTAGGTTACTCCATTCCATCACTATGAGGGACAGAAGAGGAGCACTTCAATACACCAGGCGCCAAGAGAGGTTATCTTCTTCATACGCTTCCTTAAAGTGACACTTAATTTGCTTTCAAGAGGTACAGTAGCCTATAGTGTTCCTTAAAGTGACACTTCATTTGCCTTCGAGAGGTACAGTATAGCAGTATAGTGTTCCATCACCCCTATTGAATACACATTTTATACAGTCGTAATCCTTAGTCTAAGTGACTTTGGAATGGGCAAAAGTATCAGAATTTTTAATTCAAGCAAAACAAAATCCGAACAACAAAACCTTTTTCCATTTTTGTTTCCTCTCAGCTCATGACAATAAATTCCGCTGACATCCGAAGCCTCGCTGTAGTCCATATGGCCATCCCACAGAAAGTGACACACCATATGATGTTGTCGACCTAAGAATTTTGAGACTGGGGCACCTCAGGTTTTCTGTAGGAGGCGCAAAGTCTGTCTTAGCAGGCCAGACGAGTCGTGGGGACTTACTGGTTGAAGAGGAAGAATCAGACTTTTGGGAACTGAGCCTTAAAGTCAAGCAACTTTCCAAATTACAAAGTATGTGCAGATAGTGCCGTTTACCTCAAAACATGATGGAATGGTAGTTCTGCAATTTGAATATGATAATGAAATATGTATGAGTAGCAATGTCGAAAGTTGAAAGAGTGTGGTGGAAAACAATAAAAGTTCTATGTTTGCCAACATTTCAAACTGTGAGAATAAAAAATCACGTCGGAGAGGAAAACCAACAGAGAACAAATTATGAGCCTTCGAAAAACTATGTTTGCATGAAATCAAGAGAGGACCTGGAAGATGAGAAGGATGGTTTCCAATAAGGCTGCAGAGGGAATGGCCATGACCTCCACCTACAAGTGCAAAAGTCTGTATGTTTTTAAAACCATTGGATTGGTCACCTTCTTACGCATTTTCTCCATCTACTGTAGCTGCTGACTGATGCCTTCTCTTCTCATTTCCTCCTCACCATCCAATCCATCATACATCCATTTGCTGTTTCTTGCTGAATCATGTCCATATAATTTGTCTCTCTTTTTGGCCCAAGGTCCCTCATGCAGAACTGCTGACACACCTCCAGGCTCCTTTTCCTCCCGTTCTCCTTCACTTATCTCGCCCCGCAGATCCACACGTTTGGATCTGGATTTGCCTCCAGAGCGTCTGAAATCTGAGCATTCGGTGGAGGAGCAAAACGCATCAAGGCAGAATCTCCTCCCAGAGCTCAACCCATAACCGCGACCCCAGACCGAGACCAACAATTTAATCCAGCACGAGGTCCTGTGAATTTAAGACCATGAGCCACCCCAAATGCCATGAAACCAGAGCCTAGACACCTGCTTTGGCACCAGAATTTCATTGTCATTGTGCCATTCCGTGGGTTTGCTGAACACTCCAGACAACGACCCGCAAACCAGAGCTCTTATTCTGCAGAACCAAAGAAAAAAAAAAATCCTTGGACTGGAAGTCATTTTAATTTTCTCTGCCATCACCTGTTATTTTTCACATTCTTTTTTTCTTAAAGCCACAAAAATGATAAACTAAAAAAGAATCCAGACATCTGGTACCATAACCAAGCCGGTTTGGTTCTTTATTTCCCTTTTTTATTTTTGGGACTAAACAGAACCACACAAATGGGCCAGGGGGAGCTACTCCATAACATGTGTGCCTCGCCGCAGGAGAGGAAAAATAAACGCACGCCAAACCATAAAAAACCTAAACTAATGCAAAGGCACTCTGAATACGAAACTGCCCATTCAGTATATCCGCGCTGAATTTTCTGAAATGTACCCTGATGTACAGAGAAGCGGTTATTTTTTTAATAGGTTTCTCAGACCGTGGTGGCGAGAGACATAAGCCTTGACACATTGAGAGAAGTGTGTGTGCGTGTGTGTTGAGAGACCTTTTAGTGACTCGCCTTTTTTAGAAATAACAGATATCACACTTACAGAATTGGTTCAGTTCAAATGTATTCTTTGAATAAGTCAACGAGGGGGTGAGGGGCAATGTCAAAAGAAGGAGGGGCTAATGGGAGAAAGAGAACCAGTTAGTGACAGAAAGACAGGGAGACATGAGGAAATGACTGCACTGTGTAATGCGCGTTGTGTAATACGGAACCAATTACATCTTGGCAAGGCACGCTGGGGCAGATCCACTCTGTCCAGGATGGTTACTGTCTGTCTCTGTGCCTGAGTCTCTTATAACTCACATGGACCTGTGTGTCGAACTCATGTGCATTCACACCAAAGCTAAGCAGTTGATTGGGAGAGTCTAAGTGGACCAAAGACAATCAGGGAGGAATGAGTCCCAATTCCAGAGTGGTCTGTCCTTTTGTCTTCTAGTCATTCTAAATCTGGTTCTTGCAACAGGAAGTGTAAAGAAACAACAAAACCCGGTTATCACAACTATGAACTCAACATCTACATGAGTCACACAGAGAAAGGACAGAGCAATTAGACAGGCTAGCCAACGGTCACGTAAGTTATCTGTAACAATCTGTGTGCATAAGGAACCAAAGCTTATATAGGCTTATTATGATGGCTAAATGTTTCGTTTTGATGTGTTTCGTCTTCCTCGTAAGAAAATAAATGCTGTGTTTTCTTCCCTAGTCCGACTTCCAGTGACACATCCTCAGAACTTAGTGTGTGTTTGATGAAGATGACAACATGTCTGATAGGTGTGTGAGATTGTGGTGCATGTGTGATTTCGATTGTGTGCATTTGACGAGACATAGGGAAAATTCATTATTTCTCATAACGTGTCTTTTATAGAATATGCAGTTTTAGGTGCTGGCATTTAGGTGCACAGCAGCAACGCATTGCACTCATTTGATGACTTCACAGAGAACAAAACACAACATGATATTCATAGATCTTCTAAACTCTCTGCAATACTAATTCTACGCATTTTTGAAACACAACATATTGCACTCTGTACAAAACTGCTCAGTTCGCCATAACGCCAAAATAAATGAAGACGTTGGCTGTTTATTTCTACAAGATTCAGTCCTTGGCTTCAAATGAATCTTTCCCTTTCCCTGCCCTATATGCTAACAGATACCCACCATTGCCGTCACCGCTTCCTCTCTGGAAATGAGCTAGGACTCTGATTGGCCAGAGTCAGTGTCTGGCCCAGGATGAGAGGAATCCGATTGGCAGGGAGTCAATTGGGCCTCAGCTAGAGTGCTCTGCAGGGGGCACTGCTGAGAACACAGATGCTTAACACAAACACATAACATTCAGTGTGGCACAACCTGTAAATGTAGATGAAGTCACAGGGTTTTAAGCTACGAAAGAGTGCAGCTGCAGTTAGATTTGATTTTTTTGGGATGGGAGGAATTGGCGTGTGAACAGGGACAAACACTCCGGGAGACAGTGTAGCTGACTCGTTTACAAAATGCTGAGTCATTTTCCTCCGAGGGGAATAAGAACATCCAAAGGGGTTCTGGACGAGGAGGAAGGTACTGACTATGAATATTTACCATGTATCTTGTATGCACTGTGCACTTTGTTGCTGCGATCTGGTGAATTTCCCCATTGTGGGACTAATAAAGGAATATCGTTATACATTACACTAATAATTCAATCAGCAAGATTCTTGATATATGTTTTTAATATATTAATTGGGAAAGGAAAGAAGTGAATTATATAAAAGCTTCTCTCACAAAGATAACCATTTTTATTCATATCTGTATTTCATGTTAACCCTGCAGTGCCGATCATCGAGAGAAAGATACCCAGATTTCCACTATGTGAAAGACTAAAGGGGGAAGGTTGTGAGAGAATTCCAAACAGCAACACGTGCAACTCTCCATAACTAGACCCAGAAAGAGCAAAGGTCTTTGAGGCTAGTTTTATGTAGTTGCCAAACATAGATTAGATCCCGCTGGTCCACCACCTGATCCAATTCGGCCAAAAATGCTAGTTTCCCTATATATTTACATTGAGAAAGATAACTTAATGGAATGCATTTTTGGTAAATCAACCTTCCAGTACAAAAACTTGAATAGCCCTTATTTTAAACCGAATGTGCTAAAAGTTATAAAAGGTTGGCTTTCTTCTGGTCATGGGAATGAGCTTCCTTCATGCGCCACTTCTTTAATGGAACGAACGTGAGACCTTCCGCCAATATTGTATCCACTTCTCTTTACACATCCATGGTCAAATCTATGGCCACCACGCTGCTGGAAACCAACGCAGGTCAGAATGCAGGAAGAATGAATGGATTCAGCTCCACGTGTCATGAGATTTCATTGAAGATTTGTAAAGCGATGAGATGAGATTTGCTGAAATGTTTAATTTTCCATCCCATGTGACTTTATTACGACATTCCCTCTTGACGATGACGAGGCAGGTCTTGGCTGCATGTGGGGTACGTATGCTCATAAGAACATACCATTGTTATGAGCCAAATACTGTGCAGGTATAACATTAATGCGACTTTGTGAAGTCACATGCATCCAGCTACTAATTGATCCCATTGTGCAGTGAAGTACGCATATAGCTGCAGTAAAGGGAGCAATGTCAATAAGCTCTGGTCTCAAAAAGCTGGCAACAGTCTGACCCAACTTAAAAGTCGAGAACTAAATCAAATTCAGGTGTCAAAACATCTATTGTATCTCAGCTGAATCATGTGCATTAACCATATTTCCCTTTTCGGTTTTCATCGGAGCTCATTTGCTCTCTGACAAACTCAGCACAGCAGACTCGAGAAATGAATCTCTGACTAAAACAACAGTCTGCTGACTCTCGCAGGTCAGAGGTGTAGCATTACACGCTGGCTGTCGGAGCAGCGGCTCAGACTCGCACAAAAGAGGTGACGCAGTAATGTAGGAAGGAAAGAACAGACGGAAGATGTGAGGAGGAAGAACACTGCGAGACGACGAGAAGGGGACGGGAGGAAAGCATTATGGCTGGAAATAGGAATGGAGACAGAATGGTAAGATGTGGGACAGCGATCGTCCTCGTCGGGCTGATTTATCTGCATGACCAAAAGGAAAACACCACACATAACAGCTCTTGTGGGCAAAGCTGCGGGGAGGAAGTCATGTTTTACACCATCCTCTCTCTCTGCTCTGTTTTCTCACTTACGGATATGATTTCCACTAAAGGCTTTGTGAAATGACAGCTAGACATAGAGACTGAGGAATTATGTTTGGTTGCCAGAACACGACACTCGGGTACAAGATGTTATGGCAGACAAGGCCCAGCGCTGCTTGTTTTTGAGCTCAGCTCTTGCCCTCGGCCCCCATTCCGCCTGGCCTGTCCTGCTTATTATTACTCGTTGCACACTGAATGTCAATCAAGCTGCATTAATCTTACGAGGCGAGAATTGGAATTGGGATTGTGGATATTTAAGGATTGACGTTGGCTTTACCAACGTGCTATCCAACTACATTAAGTGCCCCGAAGTAGGAGTGTGAAACTGGATTGAGATGGTTCAAGAGCTCAAGGGCCCATACGGATCGTTTAGGTGGAAAGAAAAAGTAAACGTTCCGAAAATAAACCACAGAAATTATGGCAACCCCTGGGAAACTTTTCAAAAGCTTATGAAACTAAAGTCTGCTATAATACGTGAAGCTATAATGGGGATCCATTTCGCAGATTTTTTTTTCTTTTCTTTTCAACAGGAGGTGGCAAGTTAACGAGAGATTGGCTCAAGGGTTACAATGCACAGATCCTAAACGCCAGCTTAAAGCCAATTGTACAGTAAAAGTCTTAGCTGTAGCTTTTGTAGAAAACATTTGTCTACTACTTGCACATCACAGCCATGCAAGGAATCTCATCTATTGCATTTGTCCACAAGATCTTGTAGGCTAAAGGTACCACAGAAACAATAGTTTGTAAAAACGGTTCCAGAGGGAAAGCTTTCTTTAACATTTTCTTGTTAATGTTACGATATGCAAACGGACCCAAATGCAACACGCAGGACCACCAAGGTTTCTCTTAATCCAACAGGTGAATTTATTTTATCAGGCAGGACAAAAAAAGCAACAGGAGACACAAGTCACACAAGTGTGAGTGGCTGAAAAAAGGAAACAAGTCGAATCGGCCACGTGATGACGCGTCCGTGCGCACCGATCCGTAATCACTCAGAAAGGTGATTTTCCCGCTGCATGACTAGGAGGCAGACAGGCAGGCAGGGCAGCTTGATTGTGTGACACCCAAGGCTCGACACAGGGGTAGGTAGGTGCTCAGTTGATCTCCGTGGAAGGAACTGGCGACCTCTTCGGCCAGGTGAATACCCGAGGTTCGACGCTGGACGGCAAGAGTGAAAAACAAGCAGTTATTGCGGAATCACACAGGACTGAAACAATATAACTCACTGCGCCGAGATACCGGGGTGGTTTAACGGATGGACTGACAGCTGGAGCGAGGAAAGCTAGAGTATTTATGTCAGCTGGGATAACGAGAAGGCACAGTTGTGTTAATGGAGGAGGCGTGGCACTGGGCGGGACTCTGAGGACACTACTGGGGACACAGAAACCAAAACACAAGCACATGGCAAAACAATAACAAACATGGGAATGACATCAACATCAGGAGAGTATATGTGGGAAACAGAGGGAAAAAACACCAGGGTTAGACAGGAATCCTTACAAAAGAGCCAATATTCAGGAGATGCCGCTGCATACTGCTGAAAGATTAAGATTCTTCAGCCACATCAGCAGCTATCAGACTATAATGGCCAATCCAAAGACACAATATTGTCAACCTGTGGTTCACACTAAGGGAAAGTCTTGTGGCCATTGGGATTCACACGAGAAACTCAATCACCCCAAGGGTTTGTGAAATAGTCCCTACCAAACGCAGAAATTGTTGAAGCAATATGACAAAGTGGTGTAAGATGAGATGTGCGTGTACATAAAAGCAGAGTAAAAACACTTTTTTAAAGTTTTTTTCACCAAGCTTCCATGTAGTCAATAGGCTGATCGTTTGTCGAGAAACACAAATAACAATCAATTATACAAAATTAGTCAAAAAGCATGGCAGCCTGATAGCTTAATGTTGTAGCAGCTGAAACATATGGTGAAATTGTTAAATAGCATAAACGGATACATTATCCCTATTATTTGATTAATCAGATTAAGAATTTCAGTGTGCCTGTTTACAAGATATCTATTCTGTTGTAGTGCCCACCGTGAAAAAAAGTACAACAAAGTGCTTCCTGCAGTGTTACATCTGCATGGAACAATATCCCAGTACACCCACACACCAACACACTGGCCCATGTCTGGACAAATTGGAGCTGAGTATGGTCTGAGTCAGAGAAGGCAGGGGCTAGTAGGCTACAGGGGTCTGCTCTGCTTTCAGTCTAAATGCTTCTGATAGCCCTCGCTTGAAAAACGACATGGTGTTAAACCAGTGGAAATCAAGAGCTGCTGGCACAATGTGTTGTTTTAAGTGTCGGCCGGGTGGAGGGAGAACCGCTAAGAGCACAACATTCCTCTTTCCCCATTGATGGATGGATGTTACCTTTAGCAATTCATCTAGCTCTTGTAAAACACTCACAGAGACAAATTGGGGAGGGAGGGAGAAATCTCGATTTAGAGCCAAATTCCGATTTTTTTCAATGTCTTCTTTTGTCTTCGTCTAATCCTTTCCTATTATTTCGGTTGTTCACTATACAGAGGGAACATATGAGATTCTTCAGGTGAAACTTGTAGGTTTTACTGCCGTGATTCAGCCCAGTTTTAAAATTCCAAACGGGGATATTTTAGTACATGGGCTAATGGCTGTAGTACGTAGCTAATACAGTACATTCTGTACATTCTGTACTGTATAAGCTGTCATTTCAATGTGCTCATTAAGCCCTGTTTTAATTTCCTCTGTCCTCTCATCAGTCTGATGAGGCATGAACACTGTTAGAATCCTCAATTCCTCACCCATCTCACCTTTTGCTTTGTCCCAGACCAGTCCACCCACAACTCTGTTTCTCCCTTACTCCAAGGTGATGAGAGCTGTGATTGATCAGCTTTTCCAGGAGGAAATGAGAGGGCATCTCTCAGAGGCCTGTTAAAACAGCCAGTTGTTCCAGGACAGCCTTTCACGTGACGGGCCAACCTACGTTGCAAACCCAAACGACGTGAGTCAGAGCTCCCTACCGGGTTCCCATCTTGTGGTGTTCCATGCATGCGCAAGTGTTGTGTATTTGCAAAGGAACACCAGTGCAATTTTTGTGTGATTTGTTGAGTTTTTGTCTCTTCACCAAAAACAGATGTGACCTGTGGTGGTATGATTTTTACATGCAGTATATATACAAGATCTCCTTGTAAATTGTGGCAATGTAAGATTTGGACATTAGTGTTGAACGACTGATGTAGCTTGACTAACTACCTCTAGGTTACTCTCTTTACGGCTGTACTGTGGTCTCCAAAAACTCTGGATTAAAATACCTGTGGTTCTAGTGGCTAAAAACTCTATTATGTTAATTTAGTAGTATCTGTGTCTGTGTGCCCTTTTGTGCTGGGTAGGTAATGTGCAGTGTGTTCATCAAGACCTATTTAATTTGTGAAACGGTAGCTACAATTGAAGCTGATGAGTTTAGACATTTTGAAAGGGTACGAATACTAGATGGGACATGAATTTGAGGTGCTACACCGACTGCCAACACCTTTAATCTTCCATCTCTCCTGTTATTCTCTCCTGGATTAAACACAACTGTCAGAACATCATGGGACACTAAATCTCTTCACTTAACCCCACACTACTAATCTGTGTGTGAGCAGCTCCTGAGGGAGTTTTGCTTTTGATTTGTAGTTGTAGCAACCCAAAGGCAGTAAAATGATATCCTGATCTTTGTCATACGATAAGAAGGAGACAATGATGTAGGACATGGACTAATTGGATTCATATTAAAGGCAGAGTATTGGCCAATATCTTGGCAAACTAATGCATTAGACTAAATTGAGAGTCTGGTTTTACTATTTTTGATGAATGAGTTTTACATGAGAAATAACCAATGTTTGCAGCCAGTTGGCTTTTCCCAATAATTAATCAAGTCAAGTACCCGAGGAAAGTAAAAAAATAAAAATATTAATTTTTACTTTTAAATATTAAAGTTTACTTTTCTGCCCATTTACTCTGAAACCTTTTAGACTCACTGACTCACAGCCTGGATCTCTTTCATTCATATCCCAATGTATGTAAGACAACATGATGAATACATTCAAATACAGTGTGAGATCTTGCAAATCTAACCAGAGCGGTGAGGGTTTGGATGTTCGCAGCATCGTCATTAAGGCCGGACCCAAAACAAGACACACCTAATCCCGCCAAAAAAACACACTGACGGAAGAGGAGACTGAAAAAGGGAACGGTGAAAAAGGAGTTTCTTTACTTTAATTTAAACCAGACTTCCATATCTGCAGCCCATTTAGGGCCGGTTCCACCTCCGAGCCTGAGCCGCTCAGCACAGGATACTGGGGAAATGAGACCTGCAATATTTGTCTCCCCAACACTGCATATTAATCAGCATTTAATAAAAGGAAAATAAATTGCTCTCCACTCTAAATATTATGAGAGTAAAGCTACCTTTATTTTCATTTCATTGCAGATTTTTCCTCAAAAAATCTAAAATAAACGGCCCTGGTGAAAGAAGGAGGGGAGGATAGGGCGAAGGAGGGATGGAGACGCATTACTGGGGATTAATGGACATGTGTGTGTAAAAAAGAAAATCTGAATTTAAATAAACACAAGTTGATGAGGAGACGGCCTTTGACACGCCTTGTTTGGGTCAGAAACTATGGTGGTTATTACTCCACCATCAATGTTTTAGGACACAAAGTTTCCATGTTAGAGTGGTGGCTGCCTTCCAAACTTCTCCTTTCCATCTAATTGATTAAAACAAACATGGAAATGATTTCCTTGGATTGATTTTGCCATTCTGCAATGTAAATCTGTGATTCATTTGTCCGTACAGATTTCTGGACCCTCTCTAGTGCCAAGCAACAGGATAATGCACTGTGTGTATGTCATGTATTGTCTGACAGTTTTTTTCAAGCTGCACTATCAACTCTGATGAAGAAAATATAACAGTAGGTTTTTGCATTGGAGAAATAATATAGCCATCATCAAGCCATATTAAAAATTCTAATGTGATATATTTAAAATTCCTTGTGCGAATGGGAGGTACTTAAATGATTGATTAGAATAGACACAAAAAAATAAAATGTAACTGAAAATGCAATTTTTCCATGCACTCTTGAGACTTAACCAAGCTTCAGCTAAGTGACGTATCACGCGCACATTGTCACTTCCAACTCATCAAATAATGCCAACGGGTAATCTTATTTGAACAAATAGGATTACTTAGTATTCAGGTTAATTTAAACAAAATATCTATATGAGGGTCAGGAAATTATCATTATGTGAAATAATAAGGCAGTGGCAAAAGCACGGAATTTCAGTTTCATGTTTTCACACTGGCAAAGAGTTATTTATATTACAAACAAAGGCAAATATGCTTTTTACATGAAAAATAAAGTTCTTTGTTTGTTTGAGCCCGACCTCCCAACCCACAGGCTCTGCATACACACACATGGTCACTTCGGCGTCTAAAAATGACGGTTGAAAGCCCGCTGTGTCGGTATCAGACTGCATGCGCGTTGGTACATGACGCGTTGGAAGTAGGAATAGCTTGGGCAGGCTTCCATATTGGAGGTAAGATTACCGCTCCCCCGCCCAATGACAATGAGTGGAAAATACGATTTGAAAAGGTGTTCAGGATTACATTTGTTTGTCAAAATAACCTCATGGAAATCATATCGGATGGAAATTTAGGTAATGCCCCCCACCCCTTCCCCTCCCTCCCTTCTGCATTCTTTGTCTTTGAGCGAGGTGTTGGGGGGTGTCGAGGATGTCACCATGTGCGGTTGACATTGACAATACAACAGCACCCGTGTGGCAATGTGACATCACTGGAAAAGGTCAAATTTGCCCCGTTGCCTCTCCCTGAATAAACAAAGGTTGGAATAAAAACGAGCAGTCCCCAGCCCGTCTCCATTTTCCGCCGCAAGGTTTAGCTGTGCGTATTTTTGTGCCAGAAACGCAGCGCTAACTGTACGTGCAGCATTAAGACTGAAGCATATATACTGTGCAGACACAACTCTTGTTCATTAAAAGGGGATCCATGAGTGTGAACAAGTCCAACACACACACACCCACACACACACAGATGCCACACTGCGCACACGCTAACACACTGCAGTCCTTTTACCTGCGGCGCTCAGCTCTTGCCCTTGCCTTGTCTCAAGTTACCTGTTTTCCTTCGTGTGAGTGTAAAGTGTATTCATATGCTCCTGAGAGGGCTGAGATTGGAAGGAGACTGTTTTCCCAGTGATAAAAATCACTTGGCACCTAGCGAGGAGCCGGCATCGCGGAACAGGACAGCACAGGAACAGAATGGAACAGCACATCGCAGCAGAGCACCGTTCTCTGGCACGGCATCAGTGCTCACAGCCAGGAGAGGAGGGGAAGCCACACGTGGCTCTAAGGCAATATCGGGGTTCTACTTAACCGCCGGGTTGATGGGTTTCGTACTTTATTTTCACAAGGAGAAGAAGGTAAACACTGGGAATAAATAGAAAGCGCCTTTATTTAAGAAGTGAAATCTTGTGACAGTGGCAGATTTACATCATTACAGTAGTGGCCTCTGTGCAGGCCTCTGGAAAAGTTATTTGCTAAAAGTGACTTTTTCTCCTTTAGAGGAATGTGGGGGTCAGCATTTAAGAACAATTTATCAAATTTATGATGAGATTCAATAGCCAATCAGTGACAAGGATTCAGCTTACAACCGCCACATTTTTTGTACTTTAAAGTTGTCCGTATACCTTTTGTGGGTGTAGTAATAAGATAAGAGTGACAACGTCCCCATAAATTACCAACGTTGAGCACTTTACTATGATATATTAATCAAAATTAGATATGGAATGTTCGCAAATTGGTTGAAATTCAAGCTCGAGCATGAAATAAATTCTGCTGCTAAAAAACAATACGATGAACGAGTTTACAATTAAGAACAAAAAAAGTTGTGTAACATCCTATCAAATGCATAGTGGTATATTCTTATGATAATGCTCTTAAAGGACATGTTGTAAAATCAAACATATATCAGTCAACTTTTTTACCGTAGCCATCGTGGATCTTTATTTAACAGACACAATGTGTCACGGTGTGGTTCACTTCCTGTCTTATTTTGTAGTTTTCTGCCACTCGTGTCCCCGGGTAACTTCACTTCCTGCCTTGTCTCGTCATCCCCTGTGTTCGTCTAATAGTTTCCACCTGTGTTCCAATCACCTGCACCTCCCTTGTGTATTTAAGCCGTGTGTCTCCTGTGTCACTGGTCGCGTCATTGTCTTTTGCCACGCATGTCCTTGTCCTGTCTTTTGTCTTGGATGCCCATAGTTTCATGCCTGAGTGTTTTTGCCCCTTGGATTTTGGACCTTTTGACTATTAAAGTCTTTTTGTATTGGAAAAGTCTGCGTTTGAGTCCTGCCTTCCACCCCCAACCCTGACAGAATGACGCGACCAAGAAAGGACTCAGCAGAGTTTTTTCCCTTGGACGAGTTCAGGGGAACCCGTCTGGCAATGGGCGGTCCACGGAGTCTCCAGCGGGCTGCCCGTAGTGGGGGAACGGTCCTCCCGGGGGTTCCAGCTGGGTACTTGTACTACTCCGTCTCCCCATCTGGAGCCCTCAGTAGGCATCTGGGTCACCATCCGCCGCCCCCCACATGGTCCCCAGAGGAGGAGACCATTTCGTGGTCGTCTGGCGGCGATTCGCACTGGGAGCGGGTAATGGACCTTGCGGTCCGACTACAAGCCACCTATGCTCCCCACGCTCGGCCGCAGCGCACTATGTCCAGCGCTGGGCCGCAGCGACGTCCCGACCCCGCTCGGTCGCAGCGCAAGATGTCCAGCGCTGGGCCGCAGCAGATTCCCGTCCCGGCCTCCCGACCCAAGCCCATGACCCCCGAGCCAGTGCCACGATCCATGCCCCCGACCCCCGAGCCAGTGCCACGATCCATGCCCCTGACCCCCGAGCCAGTGCCACGATCCATGCCCCCGACCCCCGAGCCAGCGCCACGA